TAATCCGATCTTGGATCCGTCCCTACACCTTTTTAAGGTAACGAATATATCATAATGTTAAACATTGGTGTGGTGTGACATTTCATTTTCACTGCAATTGGCAAATTATCCTCAATGGGCCAATATAATTAGGCGACAAGAAAAGAGAAATTGACACTTTCAAAAAAGTGATTGCGACAATACATAAGGTTAATTATTAAGTCGTCTCTCTCACATAAACTTTCTAATTATATATCAATTTATCTCTTACTAAAAGTGCTTTTTACTTTAAAAAGCAACATCTTAATTACCAATAACACAATGCATTAAGCTACAAATTCTAGATTATTTTGGATTACGTACTTATAATTAAGACAAAACATAACCATTATAACTAATTACTTGAACATGACCTATCCTTAAAACCTAACTAAAATATTTTTCCAATGCCATTTACTTTAACATTTGTTTGATAGGCAAAAGTGGAAATGAATTCTAATTCCATGTTAGTTGGAAAATAAAAATCCACCAAACCCATATAAATTCGTTTTCCATGAAAATAAAGAAAATGTAGCTTAAAGTGGTTGTACCTTGAAATTCGGTTTCCATTTCCACGTTACAATCAAATGACCAAAGTAGAATTCGTTTTCCTCGAATGTGATATTTTTCATGGAATTCGTCACAATCAAACAGAGCCTAACAGTTAAATCAATATGCAAACTACGTAAAACTCAACTGCGGTAGATTCAAGAAAAAAAATCCCATTATGTATATATATATATATAGAAGTTCTTAGATCATATTACAGTACTTGAATAAAAGCAGATCCTACTATAGAAAAACTAAGACAGAACTGATTCATATATACTAGGGTTTTGGATTTTAATCAATTATCACGGATAATTAATTAATATTTTAGTCTCCATTAGGTAATTGGATGGACCAAATATCCTCCATGCTCCATATGTTTTCATTTGATTCAGTGAGGAAAGGTCCATGGAAAGTTTCCATATGTCCATCAAACGACGGCGAAGAGTAAGTTTCAACTGCATTATCAGGACGGCAGGAACTGGAGATTTGGCTTGTACTTGCTTGATCATGATGAGTTTGATTAGGATTTTGACCTGTAAAAGTTTGATCAACTTGCTTAATGTGCTTCTGAATTCTTGTCCTCCAATAGTTTTTTATTTCATTATCTGTTCTTCCAGGCAAATGTTTAGCAATTTTTGACCACCTGCACAAGATAAAAAGCTACTTTTAAGCAGGACTAAACATCCTCAATTCTGGTGATGTGGCACGAACTCGTATAAGAAATGCAAAATTAATTTGTGGTTAAGAAAAAGAATAAAGCACGGCATGTTCTGTGGTTCAAAACTTCAAATTCAAAATTGTTGGCATTCTCCAATATATTTAAAGGAAACTCTACTCATATCAAAAGGGCCATCAATTTCTAGCCTTCAATTTCAACGCGTAGATTGTTGCATGTATTAAATGAGTAATGTTATTTAGCCCCACTGAAGTTACAACCCCATTCTAGGTGGCTTTAAATGATATATTAAATGAAATGTGAAATTAAATAACTTATTTAATTTCACCTATCATTTAATGTTACATTAACGTCGTCTAGACTGTGGTTGTAACCCCAGTGGGGTTACATAGCATTACTCATTATGAATACTTCATCTAATATTGCAGACTTTCAAGGAAAAAGATGGTGCAGACGATGGAAAAATGATCAATGACTTCTTTTCATTCTCCACAGAGACTACTACCACAATGCAAATCCTAGGTTTGGTAATTTTGAATATTGCTCGCACGATAAATTCATTTTTTTTTTTGTTAAAAAGAAAGAAATAAAGTTAAAGAGAGGAGTCATTTTGTTTTATTGTCCATTGACTTAATAAGTCGGGATCACATAGGAGTTCAAAAAATCTAATCTTGAAACTTTAACGATTAGATAAAGTCAAAGAAGGGGAGTCAAGGATTCACAAATTTTATACTGAATTAATACATAAAAAAATAAATGGACTTGGGGGCAAACTTGGCCTATCGCCGCCCTTGATTAAAATGTTCTAATAAGGTTATAGAACAAATTAAAATCCCGAATTCAACTTTGTTTATGAAAATCTCTGGTATCAAGACATTTGGTGAAAGGTAAATCAAAATTGTGTGTCGTTTAAACATCGGGGTCCATTTGCTCCAAAGTGTTTCTTTTTCACTTTGGTTCCATTTAAGACTCATAATCAAAATTTATAGTCCACACTTCATAAACTAGTATTATTACTCGTTTATTTTATTTTTTATTTAACTATTATTCGTAACAACCTTGTTTCATTTTCTTTAATGCAAATATATATAGTAAAATTATCGTGCAGAAATCTAAGGTGGAAAGGACCCATCTGCCCCAAAGAGTCAAAAACATTATGGTATTGGTAGCTGTCGATTTCAACAAGCAGTTGGGTGTTACTTTTTCAATTGATAGATAAGAAAGGTTAACATGTGACCAATTGAATACTGAGTTCGACTCAAAATAGAAACTTTTTTTTCATCTCAATCCCTTAGCGCCCCCTCGTTCACAACGTGTTTTTATATTATTCTATCCATTTTTTTGTTTTTAATTTAAAATACGAGTGACTCTCAAACCCCTTTTGCACTTTGTCGAATTTCTCAAAAATCATTTTTTCCATAAAGAAACACTTTTTCTCAAGCAAATCAAGATTTTTCTAAGAAAAATGGATCCATGAAATACTCGTAACTCTCAAACCCCTTTTGCACTTAGTCGAATTTCTCAAAAATCATTTTTCGTAAAGAAACACATTAAAGGAAAGTATTTTTCTATTTAAGAAAGATGGATCCAAGAAAAAGATAGTATGAATAATTATTTTTTCATGCAAATCAAGATTTTTCTAAGAAAAAGGGATCCGTGAAAATGATAACACAACAAAATTTAAATTTTCTTTTAAAAAAAAATGGAATCAAGAAAGTTTTGTGGCCATGAAAACCTTTTTCAATAATGATTCCTTTGTAGCAAATGATTATTTATTCCCAACGCTTCAATATGAAGATCGTACCAAAAATCACTATCCCCCACCCACCCCCCTTCTTCAAATCTAGTTCTATAGAGACCATATGGGGCTTCAAAGCAAAAAAAGCACGAGGCTAAAAAGAATTGGTGGCTCCTATTTCTTCACACAAAATCAAGAATATATAAACGTGTATCAAATTCTTGGACGAGAATGAATTGTCATTTTCATAAGTAAACTTTTTATTTTCATTTTTCTAGCAAAGCCTACTATGAACATACCTGTTTCCCCATTTAGCATGCAGCTCCATAATCAAAAGTTGTTCTTCGGGCGTGATATTCCCCCGTCTTACGTCCGGTCGAAGGTAGTTGAGCCACCGCAAACGACAGCTTTTTCCAGTACGCTTAAGCCCTAACACAATTCATGAACAAAAACCTTTTTTTCATGGTTTTCTCCAAGAAAATTAACCAAGAAAAAGTTGTACACTTCGTACATGTACTAGAATGTAACGTGAATAGTTATTGGTCGAGTGATATGCATACCGGCAGCACGAGCTAGTGAATTCCAAACACCTTCGCCGTGATTAGCAATATAATTCATGAGAATGAGATCTTCTTCCATGGTCCATGGCCCTTTCCTCACTTCTGCATCTTGAGAACTGTTGCATATATTCTTGTCCATTTTGGTAGAAAGAGAGAGAGATCTAGTTTGAGAGGTGATATTTTGAAGAAAAATAATGGAGAGATGGAGCTCAATTTATAGTCAGTCTAAGGTTATTTTTCAACAGTAAATAAGCTCATAATGACGTCATATATATACAATTATAATATTAATTGATTAATTAATTAAAAACATATGCATGCATACATGATAACCACATATATAAGCATGCATGGTTAAGTAACATTGTTGACGTGCTACATGAATAGAATAGCCCGATTTGACAATCATTATTTCAAAACTCTTTAATTTTCATATTCATTTTCAGTCATACATTTACACAATAAAATATATTAAACATAAAATGAAAATTTTTCCTACTTTTTAACTATACATTCTCTAAAAAATCACTATTCAAAACTCAATTTTCTCAAAATAATAACCATCGAACATTGGTGAAAATTGTTACATTCTTCATTTTATGGGTTTTCCATTGATGTAGCTTCCCTTTGTTAAATGATTAATTTCACAAACGGTTACTGAAGTTACGCAAAAATAACAAAACTGTCACTAAAGTTTAAAACTTGCAGAAATGGTCGCTGAAGTTTCATATGGTTTCGGTCACTGAACTTAGTTTTAGTATTATTATGTTTTAATTCAAACCTAAAGTACCAAAACACGTGGACATAGAAGTTGAAGGACCTCAAGTGCAAAATTCAACTTAAAATTTCTCCAACCCTAAACCTAGACCACCACTTTTTGCGCCCATCCCATCACATTCCGACCACCAAAACCACCGAACCAACACACCATCTTGAAACCCTCGCTTCCCTCTACGCAACCCATCCAAGTTTAAAAGACTAGATAAGCGTGTAAAACACCTTATCAACTAAGATGCACAATTTTTGAGTTTCTCAAGTGTAAAATTGAAAACTTCTAAAAATATTGTGCGCCTATGGGGTGGGAACCACTTTCTTTTTTCTACTAAATGGTTGATACATGATATATCACTATCGGTGCCTTTTCAAGTAAAACTCGAACACGAGATATCTAATCACAATTTTGGTACTTTAGCATTTGTGACTTGACTTAAATCTAGGAGGTACAAAAATGTATGTAGTTAAGATGTGCTTATGCTAATTTAATTAGCCGATTTTTGGAACCGTTTACAACTCTGTTCTATGAGTTGGACAACAATATAAAATGACCTTAATTCAGTAACTAATCACAATCCCTTTTTTATTTCCTATTATTTATTTGTGGAGGCTAACTCATGTCGACTCCAAAAAATCGGTACATTCACCTTTCTTCTCTGCCACGTACACAACACGGTCCATGTTAATTTTTTCTTTTTTTTATTTTGGCTAACATGAGCTAGAGAACAATGTATTTGATTTTGCAATTATTTATTATAAAAATTGTATACACTTTGCCTTTAGGTTAGGATACGTTGTATCATGAACTTACATAGTACACATTGTACTTTAAAACAGGATTTTTACAATTGCAGCAGTAAATATATGTCAATGTTTAATTATTACATGAAGTCATGAACCAAACAAGTGCTATAGAAAAAAATTGTCCTTTAAGGTCCGTTTGATGAGCAAAGGTGGAAAGAAATTTTAATTTCATGTTAGTTGGAAAATAAAAATTCACCAAACCCATAAAAATTCGTTTNAGGCTAACTCATGTCGACTCCAAAACATCGGTACATTCACCTTTCTTCTCTGCCACGTACACAACACGGTCCATGTTAATTTTTTCTTTTTTTATTTTGGCTAACATGAACTAGAGAACAATGTATTTGATTTTGCAATTATTTATTATAAAAATTGTATACACTTTGCCTTTAGGTTAGGATATATTGTATCATGAACTTACATAGTACACATTGTACTTTAAAACAGGATTTTTACAATTGCAACAGTAAATATATGTCAATGTTTAATTATTACATGAACCAAACGAGGGCTATAGAAAAAAATTGTCCTTTAAGGTCCGTTTGATAAGTAAAGGTGGAAAGAAATTTTAATTTCATGTTAGTTGGAAAATAAAAATTCACCAAACCCATAAAAATTCGTTTTCCATGAAAATAAAGAAAATGTATATTAAAGTGGTTGTACCTTGGAATTCGATTTCCATTTCCACATTGCAATCAAACGGTCAAAGTGTAATTCGATTTCTTCGGATGTGACATTTTTCATGAAAAATGTGGCAATCAAACATGACGGTTGTAGTGTTCAATATATATATACATATATATATATCAAATCATGATTAATCAGAAATTTTAAGATTATTTGTGGCTAATAAAAATCCCTATTAGCTGTCTATTTTGGATAAGTAGATAACAATTAGTTGAATGAAATGGGATGTCAATTAGGTTTAAACAGTTGTAATCCACAAAAACTAAGGTAAGACAGGAAGGGACAAAAACACTTGTATTAGATTATGATTTCTGTCTAAACTTAAGTAAGAATATAATTTAGTATAAAAAGACTGATTCCTAATTACATGGGACCTTTTAATGATCCATGCACCATTCATAACCCTAATACTATCTTCTTAATTAAGTAATGTATTTATCTGTAACTTTACAGGGTGAGACATTTCAAGAGAGAGCTCCATGGAAGCAATTCTATTTAAGGAAACTTAATTATTGTGATTATAATGTATATAATTAATAAGAACAAGTTGAGAGAATGGTGTTAAGTGGGGTGAGCCGACACTAACGAGTCGAGTAGAGAATTTATTGTGTGAGCTGCAAAAGTAGGGTGTTAAATGTGATGAGCCACTCGCCGACTCAACTCGCATTGCCTCTTTAGTGAATCAGGTAGCGGATTTCTTGTGCAGGTCGCTTATCAACTCGTCCAAGTGGTCTCACTAGTCAAGTGAGCTACATTGGATGCCTCAACTATTATTCGACGAGGTTTGGTTTCAAACTCCACTCCAAACAAAAGGAGTATGTCCTGCTAATGTGTCCAAGACGATTCACATCAAGGATCTTGTGCTGGCGAGAAGCCTTGAACTATGTGTGTGGCCGAGAGCTTTCACAAGCCAAGCATAATGAAACAATTATTTGAGGCGTAATCTAGTGCTAAACAAAGATTTGGATTGTGCGAGCCCATAATTAGAGTCACGATATGCCAAAAGTGAGGGAATCCCATGTATCTCTTCTTAGTTGATATGAAATGTTTCGAAGAGAGATGTAAAACCTAACTACCAATGTAGGAACATTATCATTTCATTATAAAGTTTAAGCAATCATGAAGATGTGAAATAGGAGTTTTTCTTCATAAAATTTTGGTTGAAATCAAGGGATTGACATGCAATGCACTTACACATGTAATGTCTTTTAGTAAAGATAAAGATAGTATAATTAGCCCCTGTTTGGTAAGAATTAAAATCAGGTTTTTTGTACATTTTTATAAAAATCGATGAAATGTGCGTTTAAAAAGTTATAGGTCCTATAAAATATATAGTAAAATTAATTGTTAATTTTGACTTAGATTAAAATCTATACCAAATAGAGGTTAGCATATGATGTTACTTTTTCAAGTCATTGAGTTCCAAATGGAAAATCACTTTTATGACTAAATGTATTACACGCTTTCCTTAAAAAGGAAAAAGTAGAAAGAAACTATGATGTGTTGTTGAAAGTAGTTAATGTCTCCATTACTTTGTAATTTTCCTTAAATCAATTCCTAGCCACAAGCCATCATAAAGAATGGATAAGTATGGACATGATGAATGGAATTCTAACAAAAAATTAGAAACCTAATTAAAGAATCTTCTGATAACTGTCTTATTCAATTATTTATTACTAATATAGAAAACCAAGCAAAGGGAATTCTTCGATTTTTTTTAAAAGAGAAATCATTTGATTTCAAATTATTCCTTAATTATCAATCGTCACAATTCAAGATGGAGATTAGGCCCTTATTTGATTTAGTTAAAAATCATATTTTCATATATTTTAATAAAAAACGATAAAATGTGTGATTGAAAAATTGATAAAAGTAGCAAATTTCATGAAACGTGTGGTAAGAATTAAGTTTAAGAAAAAATGAGTGCCAAACGAACTTAGCCCCTGTTTAACTCGCTTTAAATTAAAACATTTTATTTTTTATACTCATTTTCAATCATACATTCACACGATGAAATATTCTGTATATAAATTCAAAATTGTTCTCAACTTTTTAATTACACATTTTTCAAAAATCACAATTCAAAATATNCAAACAACCAAACAATCCCTACACCGCCAAACAACAAACAAAACAAATAAAACAATAAAACAAAGAAAAACCACAAAAACACAACAGAACACCACCCAGCCCAAAAACCATCCGGCAGGAGCCAAAAACCATGACATTCTTGATTCTTCCAAAATATGATTTTTGCATGGCTATTGAGAATTAAAAGCAAGTAATTCAATAGATTATTAAAAAAAAAAAATAATTGAGATAAGAATAAAAAAAAACAGAAAGCTGATAGAATAAAATAATAATTTATTGCAAAATATTTTTTCTAACAGGCACAGTTTGTGCTGTCGATACTTTTCCTCTAGCGTGTGGTGATAGTGAGTGTCTGCTGCTACTTGGCACCATTCTTCAACACTTTCTCACGCTCTCCGTCCCATTCTCTGCCGCACAGCCGCGCTTCTCCGCCGTAACTACCGGCGGCACAGTTCACCTGAACTTCTCCGATTACTTTCTCATCCAGCAACTATAAACCTCCAGCACCGGCGGTTCACGCACGGGCTCGGCGAAACTTATCTTCCATGGTCAAAGAAGATGAAGTAGCTTCTCGTAAGGACATAATAAATTCACAGTTCTACTATAATATTAATTGTTAGTTTATATGATAATTGTGATAGCAAGATTGGCAATCGGATTTTTTTAAAATTAATTTACTCTTTGTTGGTAGCTGATGATTTACATTTTGAGGGGCAGCTCAAAATAGTGGAATATGCAGACCCAATTTCGAGAGCGAAGAACAAGCGAATTCTCGCATTTGACGATAGCTTAAAAAAGCTAGTAGACGATATGTTTGATGTAATGTATAGGTGAACTCTCTTCACTTCAAATTGTCTAGTCAGAATAATTATTTCCAAGTTCTATTAGCAGTGATCTTTTCAAAAAATTAAAGTGTCCAACAATCAATTATGAGAGTCAGTTTTTATGAAACTGATAGATAGAACTCGTATAATAGTTCTAGACCAACAAAGCAACGCGTATATGTTAATTTTAATTTTTTTTGTCTATTGAAGATTCATGTTACTTACAGTATGTAAACAATACTTGTCGGCTTCCATGTCCACAGAACTGATGGCATTGGGCTCTCGGCACCCCAAGTGGGGATTAATGTGCGAGACCCAGTGTTTAATCCAGTCGGTGAACGCGGTGAAGGAGATGAGATAGATCTTGTGAATCTCACTGAATCCACATGTAGATAGGTTATAGGTATTCAAGAAATCTGGTGCCTTATAATGAGGGTTGCTTATCCTTTCCTGGGATATATGCTGATGTTTAGGTACATTTAACTGATAGAATGAATAGATTGCGGTTCAGATTACCATCCTTAATTATTTTCTGTTGTGTTTGATTGATCGTGTTTGGATATATCTTCATGTTTGACCTCAAACGCATTGTGGACTGCTTTGAGATGATTGCCAAGTTGTTTGTTTTATTTGGATGAAACATGCCACGTTTTCCTTGTAAATATGCACTCGTTCCTTCATCTACCATGAACTAATTATAAATGCATGCTAAGGTACAAAACAGAAGAACTTTTAGATTGAGTATGGATTAAAATCCACGTTCGTAATTCTAAATGAGATAATATGTCTGCTTGTTCTTTGATTTGCAAGTGGACTGGAACACAGTTGCTGGAATTTCCATTTGCAACACATGTTGCCTTTGCTTGCTAAGCTATTCCTTGTTTCTGGTGGAACTCGCACAATCTTGTCGAGTACAAATAGGTTACTTAACTCTCTTACCTTCAAAATGTGGAATTTCTGCTTGAAATTTGTTCAGTTTTCCTCATGACATTAGATGAAAATTGTAATAAAAAATGAAAAGGGAAAACAAGGAAAGACTGGATTTGTCGATTTTGGGATGAGAGCTGGTTTTAGCTCTGTGTTTGGTTCCTCATAAAGTAGAGTACAAATTTCTTGGTTATTCATTTGTTGGAAATGGATGGAGTAAGCTTGGGGCGTGTAGCATCTTAAAGTGGGTTCTGGTGTTAAAGGGCAGTTTCTGGCATTAGCATTCAGTCTATATTTGTATTTTCTGATTGATAAACTTTTCTGCAATTTTTACTATTTCTAAAACTCTTTTCACCATTTAGTTTGGTCTTCGATTAATATAAGCTGCCTTTCATTCGTATTCTTCAGAGACCAGATTCATTGAAGGTTGATGCACAGGATATTGCTGGTGCAAGGTTTATAGTTAACTTGTCGGGAATTCCTGCACGAGGATTCCAGCATGAATACGATCATCTTCAGGTTGTATATTCAGGAATTGTTAATTTTTTCTATTGTTGGCTCATAAGGAAATATACTCAGGCCCTGAAAGTTTTCACTGAATAGAGTTTACTGTTGATGTTTGGTTGTGGTTATTCTCTCTAAACAATTTTTGACGTGGATTTAGCTTCAAATTTGATTTGTATCGAGAAGAATTTGCATACAATGTCTTACACCCGACTTGGTTACAATGAACATTTGGTTGATTCCATGATTTTTGACAAAATGGTCCTTACTGTCAATGTGGATCAGGAAATTTATGTCTTACATTTCAATAATACCTTCTTTCCTACACCCTACTTACGTATTGTAGATTAATTACTGAATTAAAATACTGGGGATTTTATTCTTTGATAGAATGAGAGATGAAGTCCTTGACAGTATCCGTGAAGATTTACAGGTAAGTGTTGCTTGCACATGTATGTCATGATCTTTATTTCTGTCAATTATCTTCTGATCGTGGATGTACTATTGTCATTAGAAATCTTAAATAGCTGAAGATTAACTTTAACTTTAAATTGATTAATGCACTTAATAACATTGGCAGGCCATGGAGAAGAGACATGAGGAGAAGACCGGTTCCCAAATCGATTCACGCAGGAGGAGGAAGGCAGCTGTTGGGTTTGGAAAGTCGTGATGTTGTTGGGTTGGGCTTTCCCCTTTTTCTTGCAATTGTCCAAGTTTTAGCGCATGCCCCTTACTCCCTATTTAAATGGTCTATCGTGTTGATAAGTATATTTTATACACTTAGCCCCTGTTTGGTAATCATTTTGGCCAAAAATGAGAATGTATTTTATGACCGTTGGATACACAAGCCAAAATTATTATGAGATGAAAGTCAAACCTGTCATGCCATTTGGGGCCCACCAACGGCTCTTTTTTTTTCTAAAAATGAAGGCAAAATGGGGAACAAACAGGCTGTTATTCAAGGTTTAAAATAGCGATATTTGATTTTTTTTTGGATAAAATATATCCTAAATTGTTGTATTTTATGTTATATACGTAAAACTCAATGGTTGAACGAGGAATCGAAAGAAAGAAGCGTAAAAAATGTCAAAATTCAAATTTTGAGGACCAAATTGTAATTATTCAATAGTTGATTCGAACGCTTGTCATCAGCCCCTACAGTTCAATCCCTTTATGGGATTTCTGGCCTATTATTAGGCCATTCTACTAGACGCTAGTAATGTCTTTTGGATTTCATCTCCTACAAAAATGGCAAGTCGTTGGCCGTTCGATCTGGTCCATCCCTGGGAGTCACGTTGCATGCTGGTTCCCATGTTTCTAAAATGCCAGAATATTATCATACATATTCTTTATATGCTTTTTTCGACTGTATGAACAAATGACTATTTCAAGTTTACTTGAGTTTGTGGCAATCTTAAAAAAATATTAGAAAGTTAATAAATGCCCGTAACTTACTTTGTCTCTATCATTTTGATCTTAAATTACAAAGTTGTGAGTGGCTACCTTAGAATCATCGGTAGTTCCATCACCTTTATCCCCAAATTCAACTCATGGTGCGTCAAAGCGTTTCAAAATTATTTCCATCTCGTCATGGCAAAAAAAAAAAAAAAAATTGCATTAAAAATGTAAATAAATTCATTGTAGCATTTTATTTTCATAAATCCATAATTCTTTTAAGTCCGGACTTTAGAAGTTAACTTTAATCAAGCGACGTTAAATTAAATTGGCGAATAAATATTTTTACTTGAAAATGCATTATGAAAGCTAAATTATAATATGTAATATTAAGGATGACTTGTCTAGACTCGAGAGTATGAAATTATATTACTTTGCTTTTAGCTTTTCAGGAGCCATCAACATCATAGTGGCAAGTGGGTGCTGTCCATCACTGTGTACCATTGATTCTTTTCATGGTTGAAGCCTTGAAAAGAGGACAATAATTGTCCTTGTCAACATACGTCATTAAATACGTAATATTTATTATATATTAAAATTTAACTTTATTGTAATATAAAAGATGACTTGTCTAGACTCGAGAGTATGAAATCCATTATACTTGCTCTTATTCTTTTTAGGAGCCATCTATACTTTTCACATAGCGGCTTGGAGTCCATCGCCTCTTTAATGGTCGAAGCTTGAAGGTAGGACGGTAGTTGAATCCTTGTAGAAATATAATATTCACAACATATTATCTTGAGAGTTATGTAGATTTTGGTTAGCTAAGTCGCATAAAGTATTGTACATTTTAACAATTACTCTAAATTATAACATTTGAGATGACTTGTCCAAACTCTGAGAGTATTGATGCAGTAGCATCACTAGTTCGTGCTGCTATCGACTATCATGCAAAATTCGATCAAGACAGTTTAACACGTGAAGTTAAAGGATCTTCATCCCAACGTTTGGAGGGGAGGAAAATTTCTAAAAACTATTAAGTCATAAATTTTTTAGCTCTAACCTCTTTAGGTAAGTTCCTAAAAGTTAGGCGGGTAATAAATAATTTTTAAATTATCTTATTACCGTATGTCTGGTCCTTTTTATTAGATTAAATAAGAATTAATTTTATTTTATTCGATGTTTGGCGGTAATGTTGTCAAAATTACTTACCCTACCTAAAAAAAAAAAGAAGTATTTTAATCCCCTCAAACACAAGGGTTAAAGGAGGATTGAAATTTAATAAAAAATGTATAAGAGAAATCTCTTGAGATGAAAATCTCTTAAGCTTATCCATGACATGCCAAGTGCCTTGTCTTCATACT